ACGCCACCAAACACACATTCAAACTAAAGGAACCAGCCTGTTTGGAAATGTGAGAAGTAGAAAGTACAGGTATTTGTGTTCAACATGTAAGAAGTAGAAAGTACAGGTATTTGAGTTCAACATGTAAGAAGTAGAAAGTACAGGTATTTGTGTTCAACATGTAAGAAGTAGAAAGTACAGGGTATTTGTGTTCAACATGTAAGAAGTAGAAAGTACAGGTATTTGTGGTTCAACATGTAAGAAGTAGAAAGTACAGGTATTTGTGTTCAACATGTAAGAAGTAGAAAGTACAGGTATTTGGGTTCAACATGTAAGAAGTAGAAAGTACAGGTATTTGTGTTCAAATGTAAGAAGTAGAAAGTACAGGTATTTGGGTTCAAATGTAAGAAGTAGAAAGTACAGGTATTTGGGTTCAACATGTAAGAAGTAGAAAGTACAGGTATTTGTGTTCAACATGTAAGAAGTAGAAAGTACAGGTATTTGTGTTCAACATGTGAGAAGTAGAAAGTACAGGTATTTGGGTTCAACATGTAAGAAGTCAAAGTAAAAAGTCCTCAGAAAAATAAGTAGTGGAGTAAAGTACTTATACCAGAAACATGTACTTAAGTACAGTAACAAAGTATACTTCCCCCCCTCTGTGAGGAACTGATCACAGAGTCACGTGATATGATAGATACATGTATGTAATATTTACCTCAGAATATGCAGGTGGTGTGTCTGTGTAAGGAGGAGCCTGGGGAGACATTTGCATAGCAGGAGGGTATCCAGGTGCAGTGCTCTGCTGAGGGTACACAGACTGCTGAGGATATGAACCTGCAAACACAACATCATACATGTTACTGTTCAACAGGGACTGACACACAAACCCCTGGGTGACCGGGTGCTTGTGGTTTATGGTGCTTTGTTGGGAAATTGTGACAAAACTAAAGAAGAATTTAGGTTAAATGTTTCTCAGATAAATCAGAATTTCCCCTGTCGTATATGTTGGGACAGATATTCTATTTTTTTTTAGGATAAACAAAGATGTCACGTTAACAATGAGGATAAACCAAGGTATACCACATTTTCAGTAGTTATTAATATATTGACAGCAGAGACAATATCACTCCAAATCAATACTGTACTCACTAGATTGCTAGATTGTACTCATTCCTATGCTACAAGATAGAAAGCATAAGATGAATTGTATACTCGAGAGATTAAAAAGGGCCCTTGGTAATGTTCGTTAAAGGAATACCAAATATACAATGTAGGATTGCAACCGATTATATAAATGATGTTAAATATAATATATTAAACTTTGAGTATCAATTATTCTGATGTATATGTACAGTGTTGTATATACACGTTCAGAACATAGTGAAGGGTGTCTGGTCTGACAGTTCAAAACCCCTGAATATCAAGTTTACAATCATATAGGATATATAGAAAACAGCTAATATTGTTTTTTAGCTAAACTAAAAGAAAAATTATTCATAAATTATCCAAATACTTGCAGATGAATCGACATATCAAGTTGTAGTTGTGGCTCTGCTATAATGACATAACATGTCCGAACAAAGTGCAGAAATACAGTTCAATTATAGTTTTGATCAGGGCCAGTGGTTAATAAATGGGGGAAAAAACCTAAAAGGCATCATGGAAAACACATAACACACCTTGATATAGCCGACTTAGTCACATACTAATAACAACCAAGCTATAGTTGAAATGTTTAAAGCGATACGGTTTCGTTTTCCCCAAAGTGTCTCAGTGATTTCCTTTGTATTTGTGTCGGACAGAAACCCTCCGTTAAAGGCACCACGATGAGCTGCACCGATGAGCCTGTTGTGGTATTTGCTGACATTAGCTAAACAAAGCATTATTCAAGGAAACAATCGATAGGGAGAATAATCGTTAGTTTCAGGCCTACAGGAGCCGCTGGAAACCCAACAGCAACAAAAGATCTGAGCAGAAAATACCCGCAGACAAAGACTGAGCAGGCGGCGAGGATAGCAGATTCATGTACTTATACACACTCTGTCTGGGCAACTGCACACTAATAACAGAGTATTATTAAAATGATGCACACGGATTAGCTAGATTCCCTTGCATGTAAACCATGTATAAAGAGAACTGGATACTCCGTTCATTCCTATGAGAGCTGCTCAGAGGCGCATGAAGCCGATAATAAAGCGACTGTAGATACAGGAAGTACCCGGATGATCCTGGGCCTTTTGCTTACTGAGCATGCGCACTGGAGTGTTCCCTTAGCCTCCGGAGAGACATCATTTTGGTATGATTTCCTTTTTTTAAATCGTATTTGTATTACCTTCTCCTACAACCTATTTTATTTTTGTTGTTTCCGTTTGCATCATGAAATAACTGCCTTGTATGTAAGCGCTCCTGGCAAACATGGTTCTGATCTTATGTAAGTCAACGGGAGAAAGTCTTTTTGGGCCAACATGACGTCACGACAGCTGCAGTACCACCTTGCGGCCACTACGCTCATTTTTTAAAAATCTGCTTCAACGGCCGGTGCTCTTTCAACAGTAAAAAAAAAAATCACGTTAGCTTGTGATGCTAAGCTAACTGAAAATATGTGACCTGGCCACCATTACTATGGTGATAAAACGGTGACAGTGAATCTATCCGTTTATTATTAACATCCACGGTGTTTTATAACAATTTAGACGCCGGTAATCACCGTGTGTTCTTTATATTTATCCGGAAAATGTCAGTTTATTGTCATTAAAACGGAGCTAATGTCCGTTAGCCACATTAGCTTCATCTCCGGATCTCCGGTAAATATCTTCAGGCCGAAACGAACGGAAAACGGACTGTAAATATCAACACGAGGTGTGGGAAACATACCTTTGTTGTTCATTGTTGTGTGATGATCTGGAGGCTGGAAGAATATCAGAATAAAAGGAGGAGCTCCGCGTTCATATATCTCTGTCACGGCCTTTAAAAAACCTTACGGCTGCTTCTTTCCTTCACTTCCTTGTTTTTCAGCTTCTTCTTCTTGTTGTTGTGGAAGTGGTGACGTCAGCACGTTCCGTATCTGTGATGTGACGTAACGCGTCGTTTTATAACCGCGAGCGCACCCTGCCGATAGATAGACAGACACACACACACACACACACACACACACACACACACACACACACACACACAGGCAGGTAGAAAAGACAGACAGAGAGACAGACAGGCAGAAGTACTCAGATCTGGTACTTGAGTAAAAGTAGAAGTACTCAGATCTTATACTTGAGTAAAAGTAGCAGTACTCAGATCTTGTACTTGAGTAAAAGTAGAAGTACTCAGATCTTGTACTTGAGTAAAAGTAGAAGTACTCAGATATTGTACTTGAGTAAAAGTAGAAGTACTCAGATCTTGTACTTGAGTAAAAGTAGAAGTACTCAGATCTTATACTTGAGTAAAAGTAGCAGTACTCAGATCTTGTACTTGAGTAAAAGTAGAAGTACTCAGATCTTGTACTTGAGTAAAAGTAGAAGTACTCAGATATTGTACTTGAGTAAAAGTAGAAGTACTCAGATCTTGTACTTGAGTAAAAGTAGAAGTACTCAGATATTGTACTTGAGTAAAAGTAGAAGTACTCAGATCTTGTTCTTGAGTAAAAGTAGCAGTACTCAGATCTTGTACTTGAGTAAAAGTAGAAGTACTCAGATCTTGTACTTGAGTAAAAGTAGAAGTACTCAGATCTTGTACTTGAGTAAAAGTAGAAAAGTATTATCATCAAAATAAAGTTAAAGTACCAAAAGTAAAAGTAGTCAGTGTGCAGATTGGTCCATTTCAGAATAATATGATATATGATATGATATATCATATTCCAATTACTTGTATATAGACTCTCCTTGCACTATTTCTATCCTATTTTATTTGTATTTACTTGCACTATTTTAACTATTTATCTGTTTTATTGTGTTGCTCTGTTGGAGGAGCTTGTGACCTTAGATGTCCATATACATCTACACTGTAGCTATGCACAAATGACAATAAAAGCCTTGAAATTGAAACTTGATATGTTTTATAATTATTGATCATTAAAGTGTGCAGCTAGAATTTTGTTTTATCAAAATAAATAAATAATTATCTCTGAGATTTGTTTATTTATTGTTGTGGAAAAAAATGAGTTAAGACAGAAAACAGATGAAACTCTAAAGCGTACTCTAAAGTTGTATTTCAGTTGTTTTCCAAAAGAAAGCCTCCTGTATCGCTCCGTTGGTGGAGCTAGCAGCACATGTCCTGGGGCTTGGTGTCACATTTGCCTCATGTCATCATCTTGATCTCTACAATAAAGGCACTGTTTCACAGAATTGAAATGTCATAAAATGATGACGTAATTCATAACCATAACTCGAAAGCAATTGAAAATAACCAAGGCTTGAATAAAAAGAAATATCCTTCTGATGTTTTATGTCAATTGCACTGAAAGCCAACAGTGCCACAATCCACAACGCGTCCTTTGGGAACTACACTTTAATCGCACATACAGTATCACATGCATTTTCGTGTGCTTAATAGAATAAAACTCTGCTTTAACAGCGTTTTTTGTTTTTAGAAAATGCTTTTTAAAGCACTTGACGGTAGCCTTGAGGTCAAAGCTTTGGTTTTATGAGCGGGGGGCCGGGGTTAAACACCCAAGGGTAACAAGGTTTGTCTTTGGCTATGCTCAGTCATTTTTATCTCTATGTCAACTCACTCATAATATACTTCATACTCCTTGAGATTAAGACCATAACTCCGGGAGATGGTGGGAATAAATAACAGAAATGAAATACAAATATTGTATAAGCATAGGACGTTCAGCACAAATGTTCAAAACATTTAATAAAATAGAATAAAAGTATTATATGAACTGAAGAAGTTAGGTAAAAATTTCCAAAAAACATAAAAGAAACACTACAATATACAAAAACATCTGCATACCAGTCTAAAGGTTTAAAATATTATTTTTTGTTGGGTTTTTGAAGAAACCTCACATTTGTCCATGAACTGATCCCCCCCTGAGTGTCTGCCTCTGCTTCCTGTAGGGTGAGAGGAAGACACGAAGAGCCAACATGGGAGTAGAGATTGAGACCATAACTCCGGGAGATGGTGGGAATAATCAACAGTTTAATAGTAATTATAATAAACTCCCAGAGTGTTTGTCTCTTTATTTCACTCGCTTTATTCTCCTTTATATTTACAGGACGGACCTTTCCGAAGAAGGGGCAGCGCGTCGTGGTTCATTATGTCGGTAAGAAATATCGTGGCTTTTGGGATAGAAGAGAGCCCGTTAAAAGCGGGTCTTTAGTGGTCAGGAAGTCTGCTTTTATTGAGCTGAATTCAGGAACAAGTATAAAACTATTTAAGCTAACTAACTGGTTGCTTTTGCTGGTTAGCATTGATGCTAACGCTTAATAACATGTTAACCAACTGCTTGGTGTGTCAGTTGGGCTAACGCTATCTAGCATTGATGCTAACGCCAGATTCCATGTTAAACAGATTGCTTGTTCTGTCAGTTGCGCTAACGCTACCTAGCATTGATGCTAACGCTAAATTCCATTTAAAACATATTGCTTGTGTCAGTTGGGCTAACGCTACCTAGCATTGATGCTAACGCGAAATGTCATGTTTAACAGATTGCTTGTTGTCAGTTAGGCTAACGATAGCTAACATGGGGCTTTGGTGCATTACTTTGATTATTTACTAAATCATTTAAATGATTGTACTTTAATTATTTAAGACCGGAGCATTAGTGGAGCTAACGGTTAGCTGCTGTCTGTCAGCCCTGAAGCTAACGTGAAGCTAACCGGCTAACGCTAGCCCCCAGTGACCGTTATGAAGCTGTACTCAGGTCTTGTACTTGAGTAAAAGTAGAAGTACTCAGATCTTGTACTTGAGTAAAAGTAGAAGTACCAGAGTGTAGGAATACTCTGTTTCAGTAAAAGTCCTGCATTCAAAATGTTCCTCAAGTAAAAGTAGAAAAGTATTATCATCAAAATATAGTGAAAGTAGCGACAGTAAAAGTAGTCATTGTGCAGATTGGTCCATTTCAGAATAATATATATGATATGTTTTATAATGATTGATCATGAAAGTGTTCTCAAAGCTGGTAAAGGTGCAGCTAGTTTGAATGACTTTGTATACTGCAGGGTAGCTTGTGAATTTACTCCAGGTGGAACTAAAGTCTGATTTAACACTTGATTATATTTCACATCATTCATCCACATCTGTAAAGTAACTAAAGGAATTAAATACATGTAGTGGAGGAAAAGTACACCATGTACGTCTGAACTGTATTGGAGTAGAAGTACAAAGCATTATATTGAAATACTCAAGTAAAGTACAAGTATCTCAAAATTGGTAATAATTCAGACATTAATGACATTAAATGTGATTTTTGTCAGGCACACTGGCAGATGGGAAGGTGTTCGACTCCTCGAGGTCCCGGGGGAAACCGTTCAAATTCAAGATTGGACACCAGGAGGTGATTCGAGGCTGGGAGGAAGGAGTAGCGCAGGTGAGGAGCTGGTTTTTACTATAAATAGCGTTATCACTGGAAATGATATATGCTTTATCGTGCAGTTATTCATATAACATGTTCACTGTTGTGTGCATTACTTCATTTAGTTGCAGACACTATATCTCTAAACAGAATTGCACTTATTATCTATATCATAAGTAAACGTTTGCACAATTCTGCACAAAACAGTTTGTCCCTTAATTAAAACCTCCTTTTATTTCATATGTTCATTGTTATGCACCAATAAGGCCAGCCAGGTCATTGTGCAAACCTTGAATGAATATGTTGTTCATTCTCGGTCTAATTCAGGATTATCAATCAGAGTGGTTTTGGGAGCTGCAACAAGTAGTCTATTGATAGATATACAATTGCCATCCGTTTAATTAGTTAGTAATGAATCATTAACAAATATGTCAGAAAATGCTCACGCCTCTTAAATATGGAGATTTGCTGCTTTCCAATGTTTCGTATCATAATGAAAGTTAATATCTCTCGGTATTAACCGTCAGATTAATCTGTAAATACAATATTAGTTTGTGTTGTTTTTACGCTGCTATGGACAGTCCTGCACTAATGTACATTTCTCAAAGATAATGAAGTGACTGTTATTTTGTATATATTGATTGTTGTGTCCCAGATGAGTGTGGGTCAGCGGGCGAAGCTGATTTGCTCTCCGGACTTTGCGTACGGCAGCCAGGGACACCCGGGCATCATCCCGGCCAACGCCACGCTCACCTTCGACGTGGAGCTCATCGGCCTGGAAGCCTGAACTCTGCTCACTTTCAATTCCACTCAAAATATCAGGGTAAGAAGTCCATCGTTTTTATACTCCACGGTCAGGTGTGGGAATCCTACTGTGTGGATTTAAAGGTCACCTATTCTACAAAATCCTCTTCTCCATGTCTCTTCTACATCAACATGTGTCCCCTCTTCTTCATGTCTCTTCTTCATCAACATGTGTCCCCTCTTCTTCATGTCTCTTCTACATCAAC